TGTGTGTGTGTGTGTGTGTGTGTGTGTGTGTGTGTGTGTGTGTGTTGTATGTCGTAGCATATATGTACGTGCGTACGTGTACGTCACGATGTGTAACTGCGTCATGATACTGCGAGTGGGGCATATAATGTGCGTGTAGGTGTGGATGAGTGTGTTGCGTGCGTACGATCGAGTGTGTACTACAAGTGGGAGGTCGCAGATCCTTCATATATATATAATACAATTAGCATGTAGTATTAAAATCATATACAATTGTTACAATATTTAAATAGTACTTATTACATATATATCATATACCGATAGGTTTCAAAGTTATTTTTTTTTTTCTTAGGTATACATATACAGATATATATATATATATGTATAATCAATTATTTATAGGGTTGTTTAATTGTTTTCCTCTTTCGAATTCTCGTACGCGTTCCCGTTTAAGCGGGAACCCTTTCTTGTTCCTTCTGTATTCATTTACTTTTCCTCTACCAAGATGTTACCAACGTACACCTCCTCGTCTCCTCGCGAAGAGGAGGAGGCATCGCGTCCGTTTTGCAGGAGAAAGGGGGCGAAAGAGAGATCAGAAAGATGATTGTATCTAAAGTACAAATATCGAAGGTTAAAAAGGGATTATATGTAACGCATGGAAACGCTTGTCGTATTGCTTGCACGATATCTCTGTGTATGCCGAATCGAGCGCAACTATTTCCATTCTTTTTCTTCGAGTACGCTATAATTTTGATCTCTATTTGACCGAATGTGACGAGCGATCGGTTGCAAGAATTCTTCGGGGCACCGTGATCGACGCGGGGTTGTTCTTTGTTCGGTGTACGACGACAAAAGAAAAGTGTCTCGTCGAATTTTGTTCAAACGGATCGCATTATATACAGGAATATTGCGGTGCGAGGGTGCCCCATCGGAAACGCGACGCTCTCGCCGAGAGATGGGCGACGTTTCGTTCGACTAAAATATCACGATTAAAAGCAATTTATATTCGAATAAAGATCGCCTTGCAAAATTTGATTTTTTGACGCCCAGTAAAGATAGAATAGAATACAATTATTATACAAACTATACATTGTGGTAATAATTACAGAATTTTACAATTCGGATCTCGGCTATCGTCGAACAAATAAAGGATGCTGTTTAAATACGAATACATAGTTCGCCCATCTCTGGCGCTCGCAGCGTCTTCGGTGCGCCTAAAACGTCCCTAAACGTTAATAACGAATGTTTCCATTACTGGAAAACGATTCGTTTAATCGTGGGAAGTTCTCGCGCGCCGCCCTTTTCCTTCTTCGTTTACGCACACACATACACACACACACACACACACACAACACGATTAAGAATAAGATTCGATACTGCTTTCTTCAGTTTGTTTGCATTTTTCTTTTCTGCGTTACAAATCCCGCGATTCGGATCCTTTACTAACAAAACAAAACAAAAAAAGAAGAAGACAAAACAATTATTCCATACGCTAAGCGACCATAAAAATTCCGTCAAAGTATGATCTCGCGCAGAAATTTACAAAAAGAGTACCATACCGAAAAAGAACCGTGTCTACAGAAATACTGTGAATGTCCCGCACACTTTTACAATATAATATTTTACAAAGAGTACAACACGCTCGAGGAACAAGGATCGTACGCAAGAACGATTTCGGGGCTTGGCTGTGGACGACACGAGACAAATTTTTGTTTTCGCACACGCGGATCCTGGGATCGCGCGATCCGTAATGCGGTTAACGTGAAAGAATTAAGACGAAAGAGACAAAAAAAAAATGACAAAATTAGAATTACATTCGCATGTGTGTTCGTCGTGAGGGGGGGGGAAAAAAATCGAAAGACCATGTACAACGTGTTGTCATTCATTAAATTCTGCGTGCTTTTCCCGTCTTATTGTTCCGCTTTGTTTTGTATGCTCCTGTTTCGTTCTTTTTGTTTTTTTTTTTGTTTTTTATACACGGTGCCACGCGCACCTCGTAGAAGTCGCGCAACCAATAATATTTCCATTCTCGCACTATATAAAAAATTTACACTATTTATAATCAAAAAGTCGTTAAAGAATTTCTTTTCGTTCCTCAGAAGCTTAAGTAGATATATGTATACGTATATGTATATATATATATATGTATATATGCAACACGACAGCAATCAGGTGGTCAACCTCTAATCGCTAAACGATCGTTTTACTAAATTCCGTTTCTTTTCTTGGATTAAATTTAAAAAAAAAAAGAAAAAAGAAAAAAGAAGAAGAAGAAAGAAAAAGAAAATGACAAATGTTATTGTTACGTGGGGCGTGTTTACGCGTGGTTCGCCGATATATGTATATATATCTATGTATATACAATACATATACACATATATACATACATATACATATACATTATTTATATTCGTATTTGTATAGAAAGTGGTGTATTTAGCAAACGTTAGTAAATAGCGATAATAATTAATAAAAAGGGAAGGTCGTTAATCAAACAAATATTGGTAAGAGTAACTATAGGAATAATAATTATAGTAATCGTATTAATCGTAATGATAAGAGTAGAATAATATTAATGATAATTATAATAATAAAAAGTATAATAGTAATCAAGTAATCTTAGCTGATAAGACATGAGATTTTGCGTTCGAGTTTCGCTTCTGCTATATATGTGTGACTTTCCGGTATATTCTTTTTCTTTTTCTTTTCATTTCGCGGTATTTCCTACTTCGACAGGGGGAGGGGGAAAAATTCTTACGGAGGGGTGAGGGGGCGCGAGAGGGGGTGATTATTTATCGATGCTTCTATTACAAAAAATGAGACGTACGTTTCCGACGTTTGTTTAATTTACAAATGATGCGCGCGATTTACACGGACGAAGGAACTATCGGCATTCCTTATTAAATATCAGTAAAACGCATTTAAGCGTTGTTAACTACGTTAATCCGCGTTAACAGCGTACTATGTATCCTGTCGACCGAGGGTGAAAAGAGTGGCGGTTGGAATGTCTCTGTCTGTATATATCGAGTTTTCAGTTACGTTATCGTACATGTACTGTTATCTTATCCAGTTTTCCCTATATTTTACTTTACTTTTTTGTTTTGTTCTGTTTCGGTGTTGTGTTTTGTTTGTTTCTTTTCTTTTTTTCCGTATTTTTTGCGGCTCCAAAACGAGCAGCCTCCTCTCAGCGTATTTCCGAAAAATAATCGATTCCGCGCGAGGGGAACAACAAACCTATCCTCTTCGTCGTTACACCTCCACGAGTACACCGTGATCGCCGTGATCGAAATCAACATACTCGAGAATCGAGGGAGGAACTAAACAGAAGAAAGTAAACAAAAACCGCTTCGAATTCGATAAGTACCGCGTCTCGCGCGAGTTTCCTTTTACAAAACGTTTTGCTCTTTTCCTCTTCTCCGCTTTACTTTTTCGTTTGTTCGTTTCCCTATACGTGAATTCTGTCACTAACTAGAGTGAGTAATATATCTCCGTGCGAAGAAGAAAGAGAAAGGGCACCTAAGAATTTGTCAATTTCGTTAATAAATCGTTATTTACAATATGTTACAAAGAAAGCGGCTATGTTCAATTCCCTCTTCTCGCCATTTTTCAGCACTTAGTAGCTTTCCCTTTAATTTCTTCTTTTCTTATCGTTTGTTTGTTTTTTATTTTTTGTACAAAATCGCGACGAATCCCTCGAGTTGCATGCGGTTTTTCTCCCTTTCACTTTTCCGTTTCGTTACTTTTGTTTCTTTAGAATTCTACATATTTAACACCTAAGTTTTTTTAACAAAATATTATACATTGTACACGGTTTTAAAATTACAAACTCGATCTTATTATTATCATTGTCTAGCGTCGGTTGCGAGTACGCGGGGCCACGCAAACGAACCTTCCTCGGATGTGTATACAAACTTGGGAGACGGGGCGGCAAAGGGGATGATGAGCGTATCGCGCGTACGAACGTCGAATTTAAAAAACTTGATGAGATTTTTTTGTTTGTTTGTACAATCGTCGAACAGGTTCGCCCGCTCGACGAGGAATAATTTATATATACATATATTTACGACTCGTGAAGCGATTTGGATGAAAAATTGGCGTTCTGGTAGCGAGGTTCGTGCGACGAAATTTACAAAGAAATTTACAAAGAAATTTACAAAGGAATTCGAACAACGCGTCTGCCTTTAGGGATGAAATAGCGACTGTTAAAAAACATACGCGATGTGGAAAAGCGGCGAGATATTACTACCCTCTGAACAGAGATGGACAAAATTTTATTTTAATAATGGACGAGGATAAGGCGTGCAATATTTGTTAATGCGTTCCATTCTATAGTTCGACCTAAAATCATTATAAATTTTTTATAAAAAGTTTCCAATCGTAACAAGAATGCAATAATTAACGTAAAATATCATTTTGCTCATCTCTTCCTCCGAATTGGCTTCAACGTATGCACAACTATGCCTGTCGGGAACGCTGTTGCTCGACAGAGAAAATTATGATCGGTAAAACGTCACAGAGGATTCGCGTCGAACGAGGCTAACCGAAAACGAGGACTACGAAGAGAGAGAGAGAAATACGAACCGCTGTTTCGATAACAAAATGAGAAAACTAAAAGGAAAGAAATGAGTTCGATGCTATTGAAAACAGCTGAGAGGCGCTCTTTCCAACCGTCTTGTGTGATCGATAACAATATACAAATCGAAATGCTCGGCGTGTACAATATTATATTCCTAACGTGTGAACGTGTTATGAGAGGGGAGTGAGGAGGGTCGGAAGGCGAAATTTGACGCGAAAAGAGATATAGATACACATGCAATGGCGGGAGGGGGAGAGAGGGGGGGGGGGTTAAATTTCCTGACGATTTTTCTTTTTTTTTTTTTTTTTTTGTTTGTTTGTTATAGAACGCGTTATCATTTATACAATGTACAATGGGTCTCGGTTACGTTCAAAGATCACCGCGATCACGCGATTGCTGCGATTAGTTTTAAAAGGACTGCGGGTATGGACGTGGGGCGTTTTGGGAATCGAATGAATCCGAATATAAACGATTTCTTTCCTATAGAGCGTCTCCTTTGTCAAAAATGTCTATATCTTACAACTGGATAATGCATGAGAGTGCGTGTATGCGAAGGGAGCAGGAGATGGGGGGTTAGGAGGTGGCCGTAACACGGCCATCTTTAACACGGCAGGAGAATGGGTGGTGTAACGTATGTTGATCGAGGGTCAGCAGCATTAGAACGTAAATCATATTTAAATTTAATATAATTAGTAATTATTATAATACACGATATTCACAAAGTCCGTTAAAAAGGAGAGAATTCCCGTGAAAAATAAAATTATTCATTGAATTTACGGTTCCTCATGTAGGGTTTGTCACGTCGTTTCCTATACACATTTGTTATTTATTTATATCACAATTTACAAAATTCGAGGATCTTTGGGACGAGGGAGTGGGCATTGGGGGGTTGCAAGGGAAAGGGCGTTTGGAAGAGGGGTTGAGGAGATGGGGGGATGTAAAAAGGACGTTTAAGAGAGTAGAAAAAAATGCTCCGCGCTCGAAGGCGACAAACGTAAAACGAACAAAAGAGAACCGTGCTGACGACTTGATGTCTCTCCTCATTATTTTTATCTCTGTCTTTTACCATCTTTTGTTTCTTATCTTCCGTTACTTCTGCTAAATTCTGTTAGGTTCTTTTTCTTTTTTTCTCTCTCGAGAAGGAATACACATATATATCATATACTGATCCGTTTTCGAAAATTTCTTTCTAAACGTGAAACGAGAATAACAAACTTGGTTTCCTTTCCTTTTTTCCTGGTATCGTTCATCGTTACTTTTTTTTTTTTCTTTATTAATGATTATTATTATTATTCACGAACAATCTGAAGCAATCAAGGGGGCAGATCAGCGGTCCGGTCAGGGATACTCAGCTTCATTCCCATGTCAAACGCTATGCTAGATTTTAATCGACGTATCTGTAGCTCCTAACCATCTATCAAATCTGAACCGATACCGATTCGTTGATCGGACGTGTACCGCACACAAGGATAATACTACGTTTAGCGTGCAAAGGCTGTACGGTACACTCGCGACCAAGACGTCTCGCGCATCGTATATTACGGACATCGCAATCTCGTTACAACTCGATATAAATGCATGCAGCTCTACGATCTATCCTAGCTGTCTAAACACAATTTTTGTCTCTTCATCGAACCTATTGCTGTTGTTTACCGAGTTTTGTCGTTCGCGGGCGCAACCGTTGAACGGCGCGCGGGCGTGACTTCTCATGCTGTTTACACCTCCTTTTTGCGTTTTTTTCCTATTATTTTCGCTTAAGTGTTTGCCAGAGGACAGAGCTCTACGCTCTTTCGAAAGAGTGCTGAGTTTAAAAAGGATAATAACATGTGTGTGTGTTCGTTTAAATAACGATTTTACCCAAACCGAGGGGGAGAAAAGTAGTTTCTTACAAATTGTCGGAACGTGTTCGTGCCGTGTTTTGAAATTGCGTCAACTGATCGATTAAACGAGCGGTGTTAAGACAATCAGCCATCCTAGCACTGCAGTTTCTTTTTTACGATCAAGCTTCAAAGCTTGTCCAGTCGTTTCGAAGAAACTCGGTTCTCAAAACGTTATCGGTGCAACTTTCGGGACATTTCAATGCGTAATCGCTACGAATATATTACTCGGCAGCACGTTAGATTGCTAATAGAAAAATGCACTGCACCTCTAACGTTATTCTACAAATTGATTTTTTTCTGACACACATTCGACCTTGAAGTTTTCTTTTTGTTGTTGATGGTTATTGTTTCCTCGCGCCGCGATCTCGCGTTGTCCATTCTCGGGTGTTCTGTACAAATTCTGTCGGGTTTATACGGTTTTGTAAAAATAAGAAAAATCGTCTCGGTAGTTTTTCTTTCTTCTTTTCGTTCGTTTCAAGTGGATACGCGCGTCTTTTTTCCCGTTATAGGTTTTATAAGCTCCGGAAAGAAGGGACAACGAGACGAACACGACGGCGCGGAAACGAATCCTCGTTTTACTCGTCCATTATAAATCAATGACGATTAGATACGTTGCAATAAATATTTACGTAGGTCTTGGATACGTGTTTCTTGAACGTATAGAAGATCTCGAATGGTTGTTACTTTCTGAAACCGTACGCTTATAGAACCTGCGTTGGCTGCTGAGCTGGCGTGGAAACTGTACCAGCAGCAGAAGCAGGTGGCCCGATGGGACCGAGATCACCTCCACCTGTTGAAGCACCGGCAGGCGTCGCCACCCCCATCGCGGATGCCGTTTTCATGAAGAATTTCTCTAGCTTGACAATGATGTGCTTGCCATAGGTGTACTTGCGTAAGCTGCCTAGATGTGGGCGAATCTTGTGCATCAATACTTTGCGTTGCGCTGGTTCTGCTACGTCTATCATCTTCTGTACCACGTAGTTGGCATACTGATCCTTCATCATGACGTTCAATGCGCTGTTTTGAAACACGTGCAAGAATTAGCGACACCGAGAACTCGCAGATGTTACGTAACAGAGCGATATAAAGGTATACAGAGGTAAACTTACTTGTCGTTAAAGCCGCAAACTTCTTCGATTAGCACAGCTCGTTCTTGTCTTGTAGCATGAGTTACGCATTTTTCGACAACGTTGCTCGCGAACTTGTGTTGAGAAAGAGTAAGTACTTTACCCCTAACACTGCTGATCAATTGTGCTTTGTCTTCTGGCTTTCCATGTTCTTCGAAACAGACAGGAAAACGTCAAGCATCGTTCATTGGGAAAACAGCGATACGAACGTGTCGCGTACATAAACGAATCGTTACTCACCGAGGACATGCTGGATGACGTAATTACCATACTGATCTTGAATGAGCTGATCAGTGGCAGCGTGCAACTCTTGAAGGATACCTTGGGTTTGTTCGGGAGTGCAATGCTCGAGAATGCGTTGGATCACTCTGCATCCGTACGGATGGGTGCTTAGCGAATAAACTTGACCGGCAAATGCTCCGATGACGAACTGCAATGCTCGCGGTTCGACGCACTCGATGCATTTTTGAACGACGTGGTTTCCATTTTGATCTTTAACGCACTTCAACACGTGCCCGTCCAGCTCCAGGACGATTTCTTGCTGTTGTTCCGGTCCGATCGATTCAAGAGCCTTCTGAATCACTCTACAGCCGTACATCTGCAGTGCCAAGGGCAATACGTGTCCTCGAACCTAAACGTAACGCGAATATTAAAGTAGCAACATTCAAAGAGCTTCTTGAAATATCTTGCGGCCAACTTGTTCAGTTTGGAATATACTCGATCACAGGATAAAATCAGTTGACACGCAAAGGTAATCATCATTTTAGATAGCGTAGAACGCGGTGCTTCGCAACAAGCCTGACTCGTTGTAATAATCTTAATATAAATTACTATGAAATCTCTATGTATCAACATAATATCTAACTTATGTAGTCGTCAGTCTCCCTTATATATGCCACGATATAAGGAAAGTTAGGAAGCACCGCTATGATAGAGAAACGCATACATGAGCTGTGAATAACTACCTTTTGAGCGAGGGTGGACTTTTGTTCCGGCGTGCCAAACTCGAAGAACTTCTGAATAACATAATTTCCAAAAACGTCCGTCATCAATGAGTAAGCAGAAGTGAGGATTTCTTGGAATACGAGCTGCTTTTCGCTAGCCGAGGCGCGTTCCAATTTCTGCTGAATGAAACGGGATCCATGCTGATCTTGACTGAATTCGACTATATGATTGGCCAGGTCGCGCAGTTGAAGACTCGGGAATCTGCAGCAGGAAAAAACGTCTCGTAACGTAAGCTGTACCGGTAATGTAATGATACAACGTAAAATAATACTCGTCGTCGAATGATAGCCAATGTTGAGCAAAATGTAATTTGATTACATTCGCCACGGTTAAAAATATAACGTAATTGCTCCGTAATTACATAGTTTAATCATTCACGATTACGATTACGTAGCAATTAAACGGTGATTATTGCGCAATTATTTTACAATTACCGTGTAATTACTTTACAATCGTAATCGAACTACACTTCGCGCGACATTGACGATGATTCGAAGAGGACGTACCGGTTATTCCTGAAGTCTTCCAGTAAACGTGATCGTCCTCCAGCATTTTTGTCTCCGATGCAGGTAGTACCGCCGCGGCCAGGTTTGCCCACCAGGTTAGGGAAAAGGGAGCTACTGGAACCGAAGACTCCGTTTGCCGTTAAAGCTGGAACCGCGCTAGCGCGAAATTTGGCCTCGGCTCCAGGAGCAGCGGATACCCGACTGGCTCCACCGACCAGTCCGCTTAAAGATCCTCCCAAAGTTGGCGGTGGTGTCAAGGATAATCCTAATGGGCTTGGCGACGCCGTCACGGTACCTGTAAACAGGATCGTGCGAATGTAGACAAACAAGGGAACGCAAGGCTAATTAAGGTGCCGCCTCGCGGCGTAATGAACGACGCGAAAACCCATTAAAAGGGTTTCCGCGTGACTCGAGTGACAAAAATAAACGGTGTTTAAATTTTGGTTTGGAAGAAGAATTGTTGAAACAGGGTGAAACTTGGCATGAATGTATCTACATATAATCTTTGAGATAGATATGTTCAACAATTATCTGACAAAAACAAAGACAAAGTTATCTTACCAAGGGCTCCGTAACTTTGAGGCCACTTGGCGCGGCTGTACTCCAAACTAGGGCTAAACGCTGACGTGTTTCTATCGAAGGAATCTCTTCGCGCGGTTGACGAAGCGCCGAGACCCAGACCTGTGAACAAAAAGGACACGCGGTTTTTAAGCGGAATCGATGGACAACGGATGCGCGCGGCCATCGGTTTGATTCTAAAACAAAGGACAGCACTGGCAGGAGAATACGTGTTCAACATGACAATAAAGACAAAACGATACGCTCTCGCAAAAGCATGCAAACATTTTCTATCTTGGTATGTACAAAATGGCATATATGTATATCGAGGATCCATCGCTGTTTGTTGATGAGTCACCATTGATATCGCAGCTTTGTAGAATAAGTAACTGCTCGCGGTGAACGGTGATGTAAGAGGATCGTCTGTTTAAATCGCGACGATCGTTTGTTATCAACGTTTCGGCTACATTGCTAAGCTCTCTCTTCAAGCTCATGTTTATTTCAATTACATTCTCCGAAAGACAAACATAAGACTTATCTTTGGAGAGCACTGAACGATGTACTCGAAGCGATGATAACAAAGGATCATCGTGACTTAATCAAATATATTACACAGGGTGAATTACCTGTTATCGTCACCTTAAATAGCTTTTGGGTCAGGTATTGTACATAAAATGTGTATATACATGTGATGTATGAATATAGCTTTTACGCTATCTAGCTTTTTTACAGATATATTTCCTATATAGACGTATATTTACGAAATATGGGACAAATATTCGAGGCGGTAGAGTAAGGTGGTTCACCCTGTACGTCATCGTTCATCGCGAGTCGTTACGTATTTTACAAAGTTGCTATATCGAGGATGTCGACGACGCCTGACACCGAAAATGGGCTCTTTCAACGATTCGTCGTTGGCTAGAGAATGTTGTACCTGTGCTCTGGAGCTGAGCAGGCGAGCCCAGTGCACCCAGTGGGGAGCCACCGTATCCTAGAGCGGCTAAACCCGCGGCTAGTCCTGATCCTTGCTGCTGCGCCTGTTGTACAGCGACCGCTTGGGCTTGTGCAACCACCGCTGCAGCACTGCACGCCGCCAGACCTGCACCGAAAGCCCGCAACCCACACACGCTCTTAGTTATCAATTAATCTGCCCGTACGTTACCAACCTCACACCGTCTATTAAGCCTAGCGGTACACCGTTCCAACACATACACACACCACGCTACCGCTATTGACATCGATAGTTCGTATTAACGGTCTTTTTTTTTTCTTTTTAGTCACGAGGTTAATACGTGGCGTGGATACACGTATGTACAGACATCAGGGACCCGTTACTCCAACGCAAACACTTTACCCACCGATAGCCTATTCGTGGGCTTTTTAATTCTGGAGAGCCTATTAACCATGTTTCCAGATATCAGCTTACGATAGTCAATTTGAGAAAATAGCCAAGGCTTTTAATACTCGGTAAGATTAATTTCACAGCGTCTTGTATAGTTAAATAGGCCGATAGGTAGAGTGTTAAATACAATGTATATCTCGTGGAGTAATCCGTCGATTTTTCACTGAACGCCATGCATATATATATATATTTTTTGGCTATGTACATATATATATATACACGTTATGTATACGAAAGGCGCACGCGATACTGGTCGGCTGGGTGTTTCAGAAATTGTAGGTTTTTAGTAGTTTTATAACAACTTAATTCTTCTAAAATTGCTGATCGTAGATTTTGCTATCAATCGAAAACACCCACGCCTACCATCGCGTGCCAGCTCTCTTTTATGCACTTCTCGGAAAGGAATACCGAAAACAGTAACACATATCTACAACGACGACGACGAGCGGATCCGGGTATTTAATTACAATTTCCATCGGCGTAGAGTATCTTACCCAAACATTCGCCAGCTGTTGCATTACTGTGGGACGTAGGAGTCGGTTGGGAGTATAGACTCGGTGGCGGTGGAGCTGGTGGTCCCGGCGGTGGTTGGGAGGGAGCTCTGTTCACCAAAACTGGTGCAGGACTGACGAGTCTCATGGGGGTTGCCGCGGAGCTCAACCCGCGCACACCGCCCATCACTATGGATCCGTTTTGATCGTAATACGCTGGTATCACCTGGTACTGACCCTGAACCTGGAGACACGAAGCATTTCGCTATTACTGATAATAACCTGTTTATCCTGTTTATATCGATAGCTGAACAATCGTAACACGGCTATTTTGATGAAACTTTACGCAGCTATGCGACACGAGCTCGAAAAGCCTAACAACCGATGATCACTTTGCACGAGTACTACGAGCGATTCCCTGGTACTTGAAATAAAGTAACGCCTTCGCTGTTTGTCGCACACGCAGTTTGACTATCGGTGATATTAACGCTTCGCTCTCTCATTTGAAACTAAACTCTAGCATTCGTCCAGGCATCCTTTTAACCTTCCATATACACAACACATGCTGTTATCGGTTATTCCTCCCTCCCTTAGGGTACATCCTAATTGCCTGCCGACAAAGTCGAGCGTAGCTGAGCCGTGGCAAAAAGTGTTGTTATGGTGTAGATTCTACACGTGCTAACTTCTCAAGATGCTTTTGTCGAGTCAATCGGTCGAACAAGGATAAAGCATCTTTGTTTTCCTTCTCTCCTTCATCTATCCTTGTTCGATCGATTAGAGGACAGCATAGTGCGACTAGAACCTGCACCTTGCTCCCACTCTTGCCACGGCTCATAAGGTTAGTCTAAACATTCGTTCCATTCCATGCGTTTATCTTCCAGCCACAGTTCAAACTGACGCGCAGTCAACCGTTCAACTGTTCACCAAACTGCTCCGCATGGTCCGTGTCGAAATTGTAAGTGGGCCGCCATTTCTGAGCAGACTCTTTCTTCGAGACGTGAAAGTTGGACAACACTCGTTCTTTCCTTGTAGGAAAATAATTTGAAAAATATACAGAATTCAGAGGGAATTAAAATAAAGATTGGCTATGTACTGTGTCAAAACACTCTTCTTTCACACCTCAGGTTCATGTAATTCGTGCATTCGTTGAACTCATTATCACACTCTACACCGGACCATCCTTATTTGACATTCGGCCTCGAATGTCGCCAAAATCATACTCTAGAGACAGAATAGAGACAGAGACGTTAATGGACCTGTAAATCGCTCGAAGTTTATATTTAATCTCTCCCGAAGATCGTCGGCCGAGTAAGCCTCTCGCGGGTTCAGAAGGGAGCAAAAGAGACGCGTCGGTTCAGCTGAAGGCGTATCGCGCTCGGGAACCGGTGACATTAGGATTTATTTCTAAACACGTGCGTGCGTCTACGATCGAGAAACAGGCTAATTGTCCGCTTACAGTCTGCGCCAAATTATTTGCAGTGTCTTGGGCGGCAGCTGCCGCGGCCGCCGCCGAAGATGGTGTCAGCGGTCGCCTGGGTGGCGGTGGCGCCGCTGCTTGGGGAGGTGCTTGGGGCAGCAGTCCCGCTGGATAGACCCACGGGGCGACTCCATAATAAGGTTGTACCACCGGTGGTGGTGCTCCGGCTATCAATGCACCGACGTACGGTTCCTGGCCGCTGATAACGGTGTACGGCGCCGTGGGAAAGTTCTGTTGCTGTTGCTGCTGCTGCTGCTGCTGCTGCTGCTGCGCCTGAGAGGCGGCCAGGTACTGCTGCTGTTGTTGCTGCTGTTGCTGCTGGAGCAACTGCAACTGCTGCGGCGTGGCTCCCTGCGGCTGACTTCGGAACAATTGCTGGAAGAAAAAAAAAAAGATTGTTGTAATTTTATGTCCTAATGGGACTCTTTGTGCGTAGGAGAGTTGAAAATTAGACTTTACTTGTGCAATTACAAGCACATTGACAGCATTTTCGAGACTTTCTCGAAACAATTTTATCGAACAATTCAAAACCTCATTAATGCTACCAAATATGAATACTGAATCTCGTATCAGCGGTTCGTAAGGTGCTCAAAAATTCAATCTATCACTATTCCCATCAGAAGAAATTAACAGAGTATAATAAAACTCCCCATCGTTCATTAACCCAATGATTGCACAGACTTTACTTGTGTAGGACGTGACTAAAGGTCAAACAAAATCGAAGATCATTTATTAAAACAATGTTCTTACAAATTTCAGAAGTGAGATAACGAGAAAGGGTATACGCGAGAAAGTATCCTAAAGTTTTGGTTTACTGGTGTGCATCTTACGTATCGAGTTGCAGCATTGGATTTATGTTCTTTACGCTTATGGTTAAGATTTGTTCGTTCATTGAAGATAGCTGCGGTTTAAAACGGATGAAAATCTTGTTATTAAAAATTCGATACGGACGAAGTTACGAGGACGTGAATGACATTTTGTGAAAACTTACTGGTTTACAATATATCAAGTTTCAGCCGTGGCAATTTGTAAGAACGTGGTTAATAAACGATCTTCGATTTTGTTCAACCTTTATTCACGTCCTACACTTGCAACAGAGTATCACTTGTAGTTGACGAAGATAGCCAACTGATTGTGGGTGAAGGGTGATAAATTAACCCTTTGTACTCGAGACCTTTTTGTCCGGCATTTACCAGCAGCTCGAGATTGTTTTCTGCCAGATTATGGTTGGAAGCAAAAAATAAATAGTTTCATCTAAATGAACTTTATTTCGACACTTCGAAGGCTCAGAGAGACAGCTGAATTCACTATCGAGGCTGTCTCTCAACTACCTAACACCCTCAACTCGTCGAACTCGAATTTTTGACGCGGATGTTTATATTAGTAGACTTACGCCCCCACCCTCCTACACACACACATACACACATCTAACAACTAAGAACCGCGATGACTTCAAACAGAAACGTGATTCATTTTTGTTATTGGAATAAGTACAATATTTAGATGAAATTAATTCAACACTTTCTTAGAACTCTATTGCCGCGAATGCTGAGCTGGGATTGACTTCCAAAATGAGAACTCAAATTTGAGATTTGAGATTTGAGATTTGAGAGTCAAAAACACCTTTGCCTCAATTATTTTATCGACACTTCGAGTTCCAAAGAAATTAAACCTAAACAAACATTGTTGCTGGTTGATTCGCTGCGGCAAACCCAGTGGTGACTCTCGGTCACCTCTCGAGTGCAAAGGGTTAACGAAAAGACTGTTAAACGAGGAAAGCTTCTTGTTGACAAATCGAGAGTTTTAGCAACTAATTCGTCATTAATGGTTACATCATGGTGTGCTGTTGATAAAGTACGCGAGGTAAGATTGCTCGAACCTAAAAATACTCCTCGCGCTGCAAAATGTATCGATCCCTCTTGCTCGTAGATAGCAACGTGTTCAGCTGTTATCAAACGAATCTGCAGGACTGTGGGTCCCTGCAAACAGTCGGTAGGCACACGATATCGCATGCAAATTTTCGGCTTGAACGCGGCGAGCGTGCGAGGAGCATCGCAGGGACGTCTGCTCGTCCCGGTCGTCTTAATTTATTCGACAATGCGCTCGAACGTTTACAGAGGAACTCTCTGGGCAAAACTCCAATCTCTCGGACAGAGATTAAGGCGCTTAATCCTAGGACTCCTTGGGGTTCGATCCAGCGCGTTTGCTAGATTATTTATAGCCCGTTTTTGTTTCTCCAGTTGCGAATTTTCGTTCGGAGTTGTATCGGGGTGTTCGGTATGAAATTATAAAACTGTAGCGTCTTTTGTCAATTAGCCTCGAATTACTTCGCGAATAATCTACTCGCACTAAAAACTGCATTGGAATGCGATGACGCAAGACTGGGCTTATAAATCAATTGTATCGTGTCTGGCACGTTTTTCGGAAAAATTTTTGGCACTACCATTTCGTTGAAACACCGGACTATCTACATTATACGATTACCCCCGACATCTCCATTCTTTCCACACCTCCATTTATCTAAAACATTCTAAAACGTTGTTATACATTCGCAGTAAATATTTTCCCTTAATCATTCCTGACCGATTCCAAATCTTTGCTTTAACCAAAACAACAAACTTTCGTCATTACTCAATCCCGACCCTTCAGCTTCCAAACTCTTCTTCCTTTTCGATCCAGTCGTAGCCCAAAATCTATGTAGTGTTGACAAATTAGTAGTTCAGGAGATATTTCAATTTAAATAATTCTAAAACACCATTACTGTTGTACTAAGACGTTACCGTTTACAGGACGTCTTGGCGCGGCAGTAATGATGCCTTAAGAATTTAAATAATTTCAATTGAAATATCTCCTGAACTATTAATTTTCCGACATTACACAGTTAGTACTTTTTCGTAACAATTGTCTAGCTGAATCGATTGATGTATTAAAAAATACCTTTACGTGTCCACTCACGAAAAAACTAATAACATCAGAATATGCTCCAATCGATAACCATTCAAGCCTCCGACGAAACATTTTTTTGTTACGAGTAACAGTAGCGAGAAAAACAAGATGTCAAAATCGGGTGAGACACCCTGTATAGTAGAATATATTTTCTTTATATTATTTTTTTTGTTCAACAAACGTTAAATAACTGCGCACGCTTTATTTCGTTCCTGAATGTACCTCAACGGTAACTCGAAAGGTTGAGCACAGCAAGAGTGAGTCTAGGGTTAAGGACTCGAGAGTCGTCGGTCGTACAGAGGTGGTAACGTAATCACGATGCCTCGGGGGCTCGATGACGACGCGGTCCGTCCTGTTACCAGGACGGGAGAGGCGTCGAGGGTCAGGGGACTTTTAAAAGTTTCGGATCAAGGTCGAGGAAGAGAAGTTGGGAGAGCGAACGTTCGAGTTTAGGTAGCGCGGTAAAAGAGGCGTTAAAAGTCGACGAGGCCTGGGTTGGCATGGGTCGACGACCCCCTGCGGACGTTCACCGACGACCGTTCGCTTCTGTGTTACCGGTACTCGTTCTGGACTCTAATTAACCGACAAACGTGGATACGGTTTTACCGTGACGGGACGCGCCATCGAACGAGGGAATGATCCGGTCTGGGACCCGACCTCGTCGACGCACTTCGGCTACCTTTTCCGACGCACTTTGATCTATGATATTTGACCTTGGACGGAGGCCATACGCGCAATCTAGACCGGATCGATCGGGTACGATTTTTTTTATATGGATATAAAGTAGTACAGATAGTACTTTACAAACCCATTTGAATTTTGCCGCGTGACTTGTCGATAATAAAGAACACAGAAGACAATAGAAGGGACACACGTGCACGAACATAAGTGAGATTCATTAGTATAAGAAGGAAAGATAGGAAAGAATAAGCCTTAAATGTCGTTTCTCTATTTATAGGTAAGGTAATCTGTATATAGGGTGTCCCAAAAATATTGAAGGTCCTTGAAAGGGGTGGTTCGGGAGGTGATTCGAAACAACTTTTTCCTTTGCAAAAATGTCGGATGGGGCTTCGTTAAGTAGATATTAATTTAAAAAAGCCGACCAATCATAGCGCGCGGATACCGTTGGAGCGGCCGCGGTAGCGAAGGCTACGCGCTGAGCGGCCGCGTCAATATCCTTCGATGCACGTCGAGCCATTTGTTCGCGTACGAGAGCGGCTACCTAGCGCGTAGCCATCGCTATCGCGGCCGCTCCAACGGTATCCGCGCGCTCTGATTGGTCAGTGTTTTCCGTTAATATCTCCTCAACGAAGCCTCGGACAACAATTTCGCTAAGGAAAAAGTTGTTTCAAATCACCCCCTGAACCACCCTTTTCAAGGACCTTCAACATTCTTGGGACACCCTGTATAATGTAAATAATGTAAAGAAACTTTAATTATTGTTTAATAAATATCAACTCTATTTACAGTGAAACCCAGTTTGGTCTATTCACCCACAACCCGTAGAATAAAAGAAAAATACATTATACGGATTCTATTGTTTCATGTTCGTGTATCTGCAATTTACTCGACAATTCGCTCGATAGACTGAATATCATTAATCATGCGCGAGACATATGTCTGAGGAAGAGTGATTGGATTATGAAAATCAAAGATCGAGATTGAAATGTAAGAATGTACATAAACACACATGGTACCTATCGTACAGGTGACCGCGAATGGTGCTCGCGAATCAATTTTTAAAACCGGCAGTTTAGTTTTAGTCGAGCAATTTCGCCAGCAAGTCGAGGGCATACGGCCAGTAACTTTTTTTAAGTACAATCGGTTTAGTTTGTTTAGTTGCGTTCCTTTTTGTCGTCTTTACGCATATATTTAGCGTTATTTTCTTGTCGGGTTATGAAAAGTGTATGTGGCTGTAATTAAAGAGCAGATTTTTGTGAAGATAACTGCGGTTAGTTCATTCGTGACAAAGTCCGTGGCGTCATCCTAGACTGTTTCCTTACAGAAACGAGGTAATATCGGTTTGCAGGGATATTAACGCGTCAAGCTACAATGAATAGTTTACCTTGTTTTAGGAGATGGCAATGACCAACAGGATTGGCCGCTGGTATTCTCATAGTCAGTCACTAACCGGAAGTCAGTCTTGGAACGTTGTGTTAATTTCTTTTGAAGATCCGAGAGAGGGGATAGACACAATCGCCGATGTGTCGTTCGATCGAAGCCTATCGTTGCCTGTTTTCCGGGGCGTATAATTACGAGCTCATGCCAATAAAAGAGGAAATCTAGCGCGATGCGTCCAGAAATAGGCAGAGGCCTGATCCGAACAAGAGTTTCCAATAAGGAAGGATCGATGGGAATAACGTTCCGCGTTCGATGAATGAAAGCTTATTTCAATAACTGTTTCGTTGAATGAACGTGCCCGATAAATCGATACGGGGTGTTTCAATCTAATCTATAATTCGAATAAAATTGTCGTCGTATCTACGGTCGGGAAAAGTCTGGGTCACCGCGGTGAACGCGGAGGAGATTCCAGTGAAAACGAAGCGAATCGAATCCCGGTATTGGACGACCAGTTTTTGTTAGAAACGCTTTCGACCGGCAACCTATTAGTCTCCGAAGGAATCGACGAGACGCGAGGGTCGCGGGTTCTTTTGTTTTCGACGAAGGCGATCGAGAGACGAGGAAGAAGTTTCTTTGGAACGATTTAGACGCGATTACGACGGTAGGTTTGCGTTTGAACCGATGTAAATGACCCTCTCTTCGTTGGGGCTGCCCACGATTACGATGTGGGCACTTCAGAATCCCATCCGTCTGATTACGTCCCACAGTCGCCGCGACGTGACCTAATGCTATCGTACATTCTACGCGCAGCTACTGCA